TAAAATCACTCTTTTCTTTATATGTGTTATTGATCTTATTGTGAGCCATTCATCCATGCATGTGTTTCATTACAAAAAGATGAAACATTGTAACACTTGAGTTTATAATGTTTCAAAAAAAATACTGTAAGTGGATCTTCATTCAGGACTCCAGTCATTTAGACCGCTTAAATTTCAGTCATTTCAATGTGAATTTTTTGTGAGGGCAAAATATAACAATGTGTTTTCTTGACATTTCTAGCCATAGTATCTTTACTATCCGTGTTCTACATGTCAAGCCACAAGCAGAGCTGGGACAGGTGACCAGAATCGGCGAGTAAGTCAGTTCACGTTATGGTTCGCTGCTTCATTAGTGGTATGTTTTGTAGTTGTTGTATTGGACTGAAGCCTGTAGAATTATTTCAGCTGTTAATGTGGAGTTATCATGTGTTTTGTCCCGGCAGGCTCTCTGTGTGTGATTTGGCGGGGTCTGAGCGCTGTAAAGCCCAGCAGAACGGCGAGCGAATGAAGGAGGCGAACAACATCAACACCTCTCTGCTGACGCTGGGGCGCTGCATCACTGCTCTGAGACACAACCAGACCAATAAGTGAGTGACGCTTCACGTGACTGGGAGCGCGAGGTCACCACCAGCTGCCTGATCGATTTATACTGTCATCGCCACAGGTCTCGGCCTCCGCTGGTCGTTCCGTTCAGAGACAGCAAGTTAACCAGGGTCCTGCAGAGCTTCTTCTGTGGTCACGGCCGCTCCTGCATGCTGGTCAACATTAACCCCTGTGCCTCCACCTACGACGAGACGCTGCAAGCGCTCAAGTTCTCTGCCATCGCCACACAGGTAACAACATGACCAACTGTTTCCTCTCTCCTCTGGACACCAAACATCCTCCGTTCACAGATCTCTCCCTCTCTCTCTGTTGTGTCAGCTGGTGCACGGGCCGTGCAGTAAGACGCGGGTGGCTTATATTCTGTCGCTGCTTCGTGAGCCGCCAGCGCATCTCAACAACACCACTCTACTGGAGGAGGAGGAGGAGAGCGATGAGGAAGGAGACATCACCATGTTTGATCCTGAAGTAAATACACTTTTAGATTCGTCATAAGAGAGACGAGAGGACTGCAAGTTGTAGTCTGGTTCTGATTCTAAATTACATGACAAATTGTAGTTTGTAGTCTGACCCATTACATGTTTTAGGTAAAATAATCAGATTACTTTTGACCTAACTCGTTTATCACATCCATTTAAATAGGATAAACTTGTACCATGCTGATTAGGGCTGTCAGAATACCTGAAAAACTACATTTGAATTTTGTACTTGAATATTATCAAAATTCGAATTATATTCTAATTTAAAATGCATCATTTCATTTAGGGTGAAGAAAAGCTTTTGGCTTCTCTCCTGAGGCCACAAGAGGGCACATCGAGCAAAATATTACTAATGCACATTTATTCAAAGCATAAGATAACATGACTATCTGTGAAAAAAGTGCATAATATTTAAAATGTTTGTAAACCAATTATAATTAAGTTGCTTAAACGACTATAAACAAAAAAAAACGCATCATGTATGCATAGTTTAATACAAAGGGCTGAAAGCCAATCACAGAGTATATTTATCATTTAAAAACACGAGATGCAGTGGGATGATGGGGAGAAACCCGCCATAAAGTCTCGATGTTTTTTTCTAAGTTAAACTTGCATTAATTTTACATGGCTTTCTAAACATGCGGCTCTTTTGTGCGAGATGCGAGTGCAACGGTGATAGATGTCCCTCTAGAAAATGTGCAAAATATGTGTTCTGTGTGAACGGCTTGGTTTCAGTTTTGATGTAAACAAGATTTTCTCTGCGTTGGTGTTCTCTTTTTCCGCTATATTTTTAATGAACAACGCAGCAGCGCCGCATCTAGTGGCTTCAACTGGATAGACTAACAAACACATTATAATGCAACGACACTTACATCGTCATCGCATCTCGTGCGCCGCTGATAAGCTGCCTGACGCACACCTAAAATTCGAATGAAACTTTTTTGCATTCAAATGTGGATTTTTATTTGAAATTCGAAACATTTTTTTGACAGCCCTAGTTCCCCGAGAGGGAACGAGACACTGTGTTCCCTTGCCATGCCTAGGGCCTGCCTGTTTCACGTCTCCTTCAGACAAAGAAGTTGATGACTTGCATTACAGGCGCCCTCTTATACTTCCGGGTGTGCCGCTAATGACGTCACGTGCTGCATGGAGCTGCAATGGAGTTTTCACACGTGCTTGGATTTTTATTTGAAATTCGACGAATATTCGATTTTTTTTTTGTTTTGTTTTTTGACAGCCTTAATGCATATATTAAAATACGGAGTAAAATGTTCGGTTCGTCGTTATTAACAGCATTAAACATTACATTGTCAAGGTTCCCCAAAAATGGGGTTTATGAAGGAACTGAAGGGGGTTTGTGAGGTTAATAAGCTAATAATTAATTGCATTAAAAAAATGTAGAATTAAAATTATTTCTTTAAATAACATCAAAATAAAACACTTGCTATAAAATATTTTATTAGTTTACCTGCATATGTCATGTGACCATTTACCAACATCAGAGAACCGTGAACATGCAAATGTTAATTAATTACGAACTTATTACCTTAAAATCTCAGGGGAACTTCAAGAAAATATATGAGGGGAAAGAGGTTCGTCTGACAAAAGGTTTGGGAACTAAAGAATAATGTGCATTTTAATGTGTTTGAAAGACAAACACCTTCCAAAGATGCAGTAATACATGGTTAAACAACCTATAATTCAAATAAAAATTCTGTCCATCAGTAGTTGATGCAAATGTTGAGAATCTTTTTATTTCTGTAAGTCCAGTGGTCAAATGCTGTGTGGTCTCTCAGTTATCTGTGTAATTATAGTGACTGGTCTCTGTGTGAATGTCCACAAAACTGACAGACTTTCTGAGTGTACTGTAAGCGGTAGGATATTTTAGAAAGCAACATTTGAAAGATGAAAAATGAGGGAGAATCTATTATAAATGTATTGCTATTGTGTGCATATGTATTCATCTAATCAATAAAGTAACTGTAATCTGATTACGAGTATTTTAATGTAATTTGTGGATTACGGAATCCAGTTTACATGTAATCAGTTCTGTTGATGACTGTATATTTTTCATGTGAATGTCTTTATTGGTCTGAAAGCGTAAAGATGTTTCTTCTGTAACTGTGCAGTTTTCTGTATGTTGGGCAGGCGCTGCTGAAGGCCATCGATGTTCTGAAGCGTGAAGTGCTGCGTCAGCGGCAGGAGAAAGAGGAGCTGGAGGCCACGGTTCGAGAGCAGGTCTGCGCTGAGATGATGGAGGTCATCAGCCGCATGCAGGACGACTTCAGGTACCTCTACAGCGCTTCTGTGGATCAAGAAGAGTAAGATGTTGTGGTACATTTGGATGTTTTAAGTTCCTTCCTTGTGCAGCGAGATGCTGGAAACCGAGAGGGATCTGATGGAGAAGAGATGTGAGAACAAACTCAACAACTTGAAGAGCAGCCTGAAGAAATATTACAGCCAGGAGCTAGAGGTCAGTGATGTTAGAGAGCAATGACGATAATCTACGATCTATAATAAATCTGACCATTCCTGCTGTTAAAACATGCATTTTATCAGATTAGTTATTACTGTTCAAAAGTTTTTCTTTTTTTTCCAAGGCTTGATTTGATTAAAATACAGTAACAATTGTGAAATATTATTAGAATTCCAAACAGCTGTTTTCTATGTGAATCTCTATTAAACTAATGTATTTCTGTGATGCGCAGCTGTATTTCCAGCATCATTACTCCAGTCTTCAGTGTCACATGATCTTCAGAAATCATTCTAATATGCTGATTTGCTGCTCAACAAACATTTCTGATTATTATCAATGTTGAAAACAGTTGTGCTGCACAATATTTTTATGGAAACCGTGATACATTTTATTTTTCAGGATTCACAGATGAATAGAAAGTTCAGAAGAACAGCATTTGCTATAAAGATAATTATTTCTATATAATAAGCACAACGGCGTGAACACTGTTTCCAAAGCTCATGTTATCACGATGTACAGGATGTGAGTTTTTGATGGTTTTTCTCTTGTCTTGAAGGAGCGAGACGAAGAGATCCGAGAGCTTGCTGCAGCTCTGAAGGAGAACGAAGAGGGTCACATCGCCCCAGCTCCCATTTTCCCGCCTCTGAGTGACGTCAGCGGTCCACGGCGGTCACGGCGCTTGGCTTCCACACACAAGCGAGACGCGGATCACGAGAGCGTGGAGCTGACGCAGTGTAAAGCCGAGCTGGAGCAGTGCAAAGCTGAGCTGGACCTCAAACACACAGAACTGCGCCTGAAAACTCTGGGTAAGGTGGAAAAGGAGGAGAAATAACATATTCAGAGATAATTTTTCTACAACTAAATCCACACTCTCGTTCAGAACTGAAGCGTCTCCAGGAGAACCTGCCAGTGACGGGCACCACAGGAACCCTGACAACTACAGCCGAGCGCAAACTGCAGGAGGGCCAGCGGGTCAGTGCTTCTGCTTCTGTGGACCTCAACACTTACTCATTATCACTTACTCTTATCAAAGGGACTTTCAAATGAGGAACACGAGTGATTGATCATCCAGTGGTTTAGAGAAGAAGTGAAAGCATAGGAAGAGATGAACCTGACACAAGTTCTTGAATGCGAACCAGTGTGAAGACTTGATTATAAAGCGGGTAGTTCCGGTGCTTGATTCTGATTGGCTGAGCCGCGTTTGAAGCTGTTGTAAATTACTCCACAAAGTAACATACACCTTTGTTTATGTTTGTGTGTTGCTTGGCAACTGTTTCTGAGGAGCTACATTGTTTGGCGGAAGAATACTGTTTTTATTAATATCATTACACTTTATTTGCTCTGTTTTATTTTGTGAAACCTAACTACGTATATGGAATAACCGTTTTATAAAAGCAATAAGCCCCGTGAAGCCGTGGTTTACAGTGAATTTATAACAGCTAAGGGGGTTTAACAACGTGCCTTAACTGTTATAAATTCACTGTAAACCACAGCTTCTTGGGGCTTTTTGTAATGTCAAATTTGAAGCAGTTCATTATTAGTTCATTAGTTTTGGTGTAGTTTACAAGATGTGCATTTGCCCTATACAAAAAAAAAAAAACCTTTTTCATGTATTCTATTAATCAGCGTTGATGATTATTACAGTATCCAGGGCAATAACGGGCGATGATGATTAAAAGTACTGCAGATAGTGTTGGTTTGATCTCAGAAGAGCTGTGAAGAGCACACACTGAAGGGAGAACTGCAGGATCTCATATGGGACGTGTCTGTGTGTTGCAGAACCTGAAGCAGCTGCGGATGGAGCTCCAGATGCTGGGCGTGAAGCTGCAGTCTGGAGAACGAGCGTGCTGCCGCAACACCGACGGAGAGAGGCTCCGAAACGCACTCTTCTCCGCAGACGGCAAACTCGCCAAACAGGTAAAACACGAGAGATCTCCTCACTTCAGACAACATCAGAACTTAAACATTGCAGTCTGTCTTAGCTGTGATTTTGACAGACAGAATGCAGCTCTAACTGACGAAAATAACCATCATTTTTGACCTTCCTGTGTAATATTGTGTTGCAAACATCAATGCTGGCAAATGACCATGGTATAAGCAGGATAATCCACGGCTAGCTGTGCATTCAATGATTTTAACGCACTCTGCTTCGCGTCAAGTGGTTCTTTGCCTCCACGTCATGCATTAAAATCATTGAATGCACAGCTAGCCGTGGATTATCCTTTATTTAATAAAAAGGAAAGTAACATTTATTTGAGCTATTACTGATATACAACAGTCTAGCTGGATGCAGTTAGTTTGTTCCGCACCAACGTCTCTTCCTCTGTTTCTCTTCCTGTGTTCTCTTTAACTCCTTTCACACTAATTTAGATTTAATACATTTACTAACAAAATCCAAATGATGACGCACAAGATTCACATGCATCCCTTCCCTCTAAACTACATGCTCTTATTTTACTAACATGCCGTTTGTTTTTGATGTTCCTGGCCTGATTTTCTAATCTGATCCGTGTGATTTCAGAAGAACTAAATTAACCATGTAATTGTTCCCAGTGGCCTCTCTAACCCTGTCGGCTGCCCTCTCCCTCCCGTCTGCAGGACCAGATGCTGGTGGAGCTGCACACTAGCCTGCAGCTGGTCAGAGCAGACCTGCGCAAGAAAGACGAGCTGCTGGCACAGCTACAGCGCAGCCAGCCGCCTCCAGCGTCCAGCTCCTGCAAGAAGAGGGGCTGCGGCGTGGCTGTGGCTTATGTGGAGAACCAGCCTCCTGAGAAGCGCCCCTTCTTCCGCTCATTCTTCCCCTCGCGACAGAGGCCTGAGGCGGGCACACCGTATACCCGAGTGTTGCGCTCGCGCCAGCCGTCCCCTCCATCCACTCCCATACAGCTCCGAGTCAAATATTAGGAGCTCAGTAGTGGACACAGACAAGAGCTTTTATGTCTTGCAGTTTTTATATTTCTGTCTTATAATCAGGTGGCCGTTTGACACATGAGTGGGCCTTATTTTGATGGGAATCCCAAGAGCATTTTAAATGTTAACAAGGCTATTACACACAGTATTTTACCCACATGCTTTTTTTTCTTTGGTATATTACGTAAACAAAATGTAAAAGCGATATAAAAGTATTGATTCCAAATTCCATTTGTCTTCTAAATGTATGTTATACATAAAGCTGAACTACAAACTTTTTCATGGGTTGCTGCTTTCTGTTAAAAGGTTTGAGCGTGTGATGCTTTAGGAATTCAGTGTTATTGTCACCGAATGCACACGCAAGTCTTTTTTCCTTTGGCGTGTTTGTAAGTTTCCAAATGCAGATTTCAACACTACATTCTTGGTCTGGCTCCTCTTATGCACGAGTTTGGGAAGGTTAGTGTGGTTAGAGCTGTTTGTTTGTCACTTTTGAATGTCTTTCCACTGTATAATCGAAACTAAAATGAGTGCGTATGTAATAAAACACTCAACTGTCGAAGTTTCATCAGTTTATTGGCACAGTTGTCTATACACAGTTAATTAGAGTGTGAACGTGTTTTCCTCCGCATCTGTGTGAACAGGAGAACTGTGTCAGGGTGTGACGGAGGACAGGTCGAGTGGAGACACTCTCCTGATGGGTGTGGTGTTGTTAGACAGCGGGTTGAAGACGCAGGGTAAAGACAGGTCTGTCGATGACGGCTCGCCTTGCTCTCGCACCGCAGAGATCTGTCTCAACAGAGCCTTGCCTTCCTCTCGTGCCTGGAAGACAAGCATTTGCAAACACGTTTGACAGGTTACACTAATTACGCTTGCTGTTTTATTCAACTGCAGAAATCCTATCAAACAACTACAAAGAGGAAATATTTAACATTAAACTAAAGCATTTTTTTTTCTCTCCAAATGTAGGGTCCGTAGTCTTTGCTGTAGGTTACATCCCAACCACAGATTCCTCAATGTTTATTCTGATCTAGTGTCAATTCTAATCGAAACACACACTTATAAACCTTTGTTCTGCTGTTAAACTATCTGTCCAAGCTAACGTTACAAACATACCAACAATCTTAAAACATGCCCGTAACTTACTACCAACTTGTATGAAAATGTTTAAACATGTTAACAACATACTATAAACGAACATTCTAAAATATTAAAACATGCTAGCAACATGCTAACAACATGAGGTTAAAATATGCTAGCAACATAATGTTAACCAAATGCTAAATTGTGTTAACGGTGTTAAATGTTAAAAACATACATCAACTTCTAGAAAAATACTAAAACATGCTGACATCTACATACATCCTAAAACATGCTAGCCAAGTGCTAAAACATGCTGGCAGCATACTATCAACTGCTAAAAAACATGCTTACAATTAAACAACACCTTAAAATATACCAGCTACTTCTACAACAAAAAAAAAGGTTAAAACATGCTAAAACCTGTTTACTGCATAGTGTCAACTAAAAAAAAAAAAGAAAAGCTAAAACATGCTGGCATGTTAAAAAGTTCTAACAACATACTAAAAGATGCTAGAAACGTCAACAATCTTCTACCACACGCTAAAACATGTAGTTATAGTCTACAGATTTTACTATCGAGTTAGTGTTAATTAATCAGAAATAATATTTATAATGTAACATTTAAATATGTATTAAACGGATGGCAGTAGTTGAGAGCAGACTGATGAAGAGAAACTCACGTCGTTATAATCGCAGCAGCGCTGAGCGCAGAGAGACGCCTCGTCGTACAGTTTGTTCTTGAAGTAGTACTGACCCAGATACCTCAGAGCGGTGCTGACCTCAGCGTGCTCCAGCTGCTCCTGAGACACAGACAGACACACACACACACACACACACACAGAGACAGACACACACACACACAGAGATAGACAGACACAGACAGACACACACACACAGAGAGAGACAGACACACACACACACACACAGAGAGAGACAGACACAGACAACACACACACACACACACAGAGAGACAGACAGACACACACACACAGACACACATCTCTGCCATCAGTCACATCTTCATCTTACTCGGCATGATGTTCAGAATTACATCAACATTATTCCACAAAATGTGGGTAGGGAAAGTAATAAGCCCAGCCCACATTACTTGCTACAGAACATTCACTATTAAACGTCCAGGTAAGGAAGTCAAACGCTGCTAGTTGTCTGGCACTGCAGAAGAGAAGCTGTGCGTGAGGTTTATAAACTGGGTTTAAACATTCAACAGCGCAGAGATCCAGCAACTTACCCCACACGAGAAAATATCCTGGATGTAGATGATGTAGCACTGTGCAGCGTCGTCAGATTCATTCAGCTGCTCGTGAAGCCTAGAAACAAACACGTGCTTTCACCCAAACAGCAGCACTTTCACCAGCACACTCCTGAAGAAAACTGCACTCACTTAGCCAGCTTCAGAAGAGCCATTCTCTCCACATCGCCGACCGAATACGCCCTCCAGTAACACTGAACCCATCAAAGCAGACCGTCATCAGCATTACAACACACTCTCTGGAGGAGAATCACGTTTCAGTGATGAACAGTCGCCGTTTTACCTTTTTGGCCTCCACTTGCTGAGACAGTTTCTCGTAACATTCCCCGAGAGCGACGAGCATGCGTGAGTCGTTCGGCCTGAAACGAGCACACAAACACACAGCGTAAGGAACACACACACTGAATGGTGCTGGAGACATCTTCACCTCAGCTGATGAGCTTTTCTGTAGTAGTAGAGCGAGTAGAAGGGCATCTTGAGGATCTCGTAGGTCTGTCCGAGTCCGTACCAGGCCCGGTAGTCCCTTTTGTTCACTTCAATTGCATGCCTAATACACAAGGACAAAAAATGGATTACATTTTTATTTATTTATTTAAATTGAATTATTAACTAATACTTTTTATTTAGATTTTTTTTTTTATTAATTTTTTTATTTATCTAAATTTTTTAAGGGTATAAACAAATTTAACATGAATAAATTATACATTTATGGTCAAGTAATAGGGTGGATGTCTCAAATAATAATTAAAGGAATAAAGAGATTTAAATTTAATTATTATAAAGCGGAGAGTTCCGGTGCTTGATTCTGATTGGCTGAGCCGCGTTCGAAGCTGTTGTAAATTACTCTACAAACATACACCTTTGTTTACTTCTGTGTGTTGCTCGGCAACCACTGTTACAACCACAACTGATTCTGAGGAGCTACATTGTTTTGAAGAATGCTTCGCTTCGTACCGAACAACGCCCCTTAGCTGTTATAAATTCACTGTAAACCACGGCTTCACGGGGCTTATTGCTTTAATTTTAAATTTAAATTTTTGATTTAATTTTAGGAATAAAGACAATAATGTCACTCATGACTAATGTTACTTATGCAATTCTATACAAAAAAAGATTATATTTATTATTTTTATTTGTTTTAATTATATATATATATATATATACACTACCGTTCAAAGGTTTGGGGTGGGTACATTTTTTTTATGTTATTGAACATTTGTAAGATTTGTAACATTTCTTAAGCATTTATGTAAAAACAGTAATATTATCACCTAAAATAACGGTTTCCTATATCAATATACTTTTATTTCTCATTTCAGTATGCTTATAAATTTATTTCTGTGATGCGCAGCTGTATTTTCAGCATCATTACTCCAGTCTTCAGTGTCACATGATCTTCAGAAATCATTCTAATATGCTGATTTGCTGCTCAACAAACATTTCTGATTATTATCAACGTTGAGAACAGTTGTGCTGCACAATATTTTTGTGTAAATAATGCAATGTGAATATTCGCATCGCTTTTGGTGTGCACCAGCGGTACAGAGTAGTTTGAAATGTGATAAAAAGGCTGTGCAAAGGTTTAGGCACTCTTTCAGTCGTGTTGATTTGAATACCTGCAGTCACTTAATAATGCTGATTGTGACACAAAATTGATTTGATTGGCTCAATGAACCTTCACTCTGCAAACACAGCAGCAAGCCATCATGAACAAGGTTTCTGGTGGCTTTCAGGTGCGCTGCTCCAGATGTACCTGTAGGCCTGGATGGCGGCGGAGGTGTTCTTCATCTCCATGTACTCGTGACCCATGAGGGTCCAGGCCCCCAGACAGCGTGGATTCAGCTTCAGAGCCCGCTGGAAATACAGAGCGGCCTTCTCGTGCTGAGACCGCAGACTGTAGTAGTTACCTGTGAGCAGACAACAAAAACACTATTCATAATCGACTTTATGGTTCATGTTGATTGACTCCAAAGATAAATTATTACAGACCATTTCCTCAACAAACTGGTTTTTCTAGATTTCGTATTACATCCCTGTTCAAGAAATCAATCATCTGCTTAACTGGAAGGCAGATTGCTTTGAGCACACCCACTTCATGGTAAAATCATTCAATAACATCCAACAGCCACCTTTACATTCCTGCTTAACCCTCTGGGCCTCTTCAGTCAGAGCTGCATTTTCTAATTTATAAATGTTTTGCTTCACTGGAATGGGACGACACTTGGTGATGTTTGTCGCATTAGCTATGTGAACACACACAAAAAAACTTGGACATGATGCTAAAGGGTCGAAAAATAAAGTAACACTTGGTGCCTCGAGTCAAAAATGGGTGTAGGAAAAAAAATAGCTCATAAAAACTATAAATATTGCATAGTATCATAACGTCCCCTCAAAATTCGAAATGATGATCAAAAAATATTATTGAACAGAAATATATTACATTGATTTTTCAAGGCTTCGGTCACTTTTGACCGCGAAGGTACCAAGTGTGAGCCAAAAATGGCCCACGTGTGCGGAGATTACCCACAGTCCCGTGTCAGACGGACTCACCGATGACGCAGCACGTCTCCACGCGGTACTTATCGATCTCCACCAGATTGTGTGCCAGGTAACTGAGCTCCGGCTTCATGCTCTGACAACAGACAAACACAGGATCTGAACAGAATATTGCCTGGACTTCACTTTAATTTAATATCAGCAGATAATCTGTGTAATCTGACCCAGAAACCCATATGGTTCTGCAAGATCTCAGT